GCCATTGCCATTCTCTGAGGCTGAGAAAGTATGGCTTGCCCAAGATCAGCCAGTAGATTTTTATACTCAAGTAGTGAATTGAACCCTGGTCCCCAGAGTTGTAGTCCAAAACTCAAACCACTACACTACACTAGCTCTAAGCCAATACCATACTAGATACATTGAACATGAGCCAGTTCTGCAAGTCAGAAACCAAGCAGATACTGGATTCTCAAAGTTGAGGCATGATGAGAGAGCCTTTGTTAGAAATCAACAGTCTGGCTAAGACTTAGCATAACTGGAGCCATACCACCACAGAAGCAACACAAGTGGAAGACAAGGGAATGTGGCCTAGCTCAAATATTTTCTTTCTTGAGGCTGAGAACTAAGATGGTGCATGCTGTGTACTAAAATGAAGTCAACTGATAGTGGAATTTTACTAGATCTGGCAAGAGCTTATTTTAGAAAGTTTAGATATGTAGTACATACAGCTTTCTACTCTGGTAGAGGGAAATTACTGGGCTAGGAATTGAAGATGTTGCCCATCATATGCCACTCAGGTCAGTTGCTTCACTGCCTAAGAGTAGAGCTAGCCAGATTACAGGAAAGGGTTGTAGTGGAGCTGCAGATATGTTTCACATGCTACTATTGGTGAAGGAAGCTTTTGATTTTAATCTGTTTGCTGATATGTAATTTTTAAAAGCCAAATCTACAAGGTCCTTTCCATTAGCATTTCTTTGAGATCAGTAGCTGCCTGATAATCACAAACAATTATTGTACCAGGTTGGTATGAATGTTCATAGTGTGATTTATGCACTTTCTGAAATTCATAGATAAAAACTTTATGATTAACCCAGTGGGGGCTTAGTCATTAATTGGAAAGGGAATAATTAATGTTTCTGATAATTCCGCAGCTGCTTAAACCAACACACCTGAGGCTGCCAATTCCATTCTCAAGAGCTGCAAAGGTGATGGACAAATACTCTTTGAATCCTTTTCCATCAGTTGCAGTAGTTCTAATTTGCACCTGCCTAATCTTCTGAACAAAGCTTAGTATCTCAGGAAGATCTTGTAGTTTTCAAAACTGCAAACAAAGCATCATGAATGCCCATGTGTAAGCTTACTGTCCTCCCAGTTTGGCTCTATAGCACATAGTCATAAACTGGGAAGGAGGCAATGGCTTCAGGAGAGGTGGGTGCTATTTCTTTAGCAAAATGCTTATGCTGAAAGCAGGGAGCCAGTCATGCAACTTGCCCAGAATGCTTGGTTCCATCATGGACCTATGATTAATTATGAGAACAAAGAATGGCCACTAAGGGCAGATGCAGATGGTCCGTTTGGGGCGGGTCTGGGCCGCCCCTGGGAGCAGCAGATCGGGGCCACAGCAACCACATGGCATGGCCCCAATCTGCCTTTTTGCTGCCCAAAAAAGAGTGGCACAATGCCGCTCCTTTTTGGGGTGGCAAAGGACTGCTCTTTGAGCTGCCACCATGGCTCTTTTGCACTTTTTTGGCTCAGTGTGTGCACATGCTGCACTAAGAGGGCACCCTGACGCTGTGCACCATGCTGTCCTCAACTACAGCCAGCCTCAGTTCCCACAGCTGCCAGGGAT